AGTTTTTTATATAAAAATCATTATTGAATTACCCCAAAACCCCAAAACCCCAAAACCCCATGTAACTCAATTGTTGTTTCTGTAAAAGTATTGAAAAGTTGTTATAGATGAGCTATTCTAATATTTTGTGGGGTAATTCAATAATGATTTTTATATAAAAAACTAAAAACTAATATATAAAATGGATAACCTAGCTCAATAATAAAATTAAATCGAAAAACATCTTGGTCGATAAAACAGCATTTTATCTTAGGGTAAAGTAATAATAGAAAAGCCATTAAATTGAAGCAGTTTAGATAACGGTGATTAATACTAATCTGGAATGAAATTATTTGAATTATAAACCCCACTAGACTCCATTTAATTCCTTAAAAATAATTAGTAGATCTTTGATGAGAAGGCCTCTAATTTCCTTGAAAAAGACACTCCGTATTTTAATCACAAACTAAAAGAAAAACAGATTAATTAGGCAAATGATACCACTATGCAACAGGAGAATTCAAATTAACCTTCATTATCATCTTATTAGATGTAGTAATAATCACAGTAGATAGTAAAGTCGTAGAAGGATTAGAAAGAGGCTCTGTAATAAATATAAGATTATAGAAGGCCATCACGAGTTGGCTCCAAGTGTAACTTTGCTTACTACTAACTCAATAAATTGGCTGCAGTACCAAGTAATCAGATAGGCAATATATCCAATATTAATGTGTCACAGTCATAAATCAACTCAATGAGCTATATTTGTCTGAATTAAAACCAGTCTACTTGAAAGATTTAATTCATCAGTAATCCCCCATCAAACGTGCCGAGTAATAGACTATTAAAAATCTAGGAGGAAAATTAAAGCTAAGCTAGTAGTAGCATCAAAATAAATGGTAGTAATGGTTTGTAGAATCGGAAAATTTCATTCGAAGATAGTCAAAATTAAAATAATTAAGTTGAGATTAAAGTAAGCGATTCTAAAAGATGGGAGTATTAATATTTAAATAACTCTTAGACTGTAATAGACGGAATTAAAGAAAGATTGAATAAAGGTAATAAAAGAACTTCTAAAAATGGCAGTTTAAAAGCAGGTAGAAGTGACACTTTAAATCTTATAGATGGATCTGTTACTCTGGAGCATGGATGTTCTTGTTCTTCATTACTGAATATGACCGATAATAATAACAACATCCATAGTTAGGATAAATGCATAATATTTTGAAAGCTTTGCTCATTTATACATCACTATTTCTCTCAAAAAAATAATACTAATTTATAAAATATTAAACTTTTATTAAAAACTAATTGTGTAATTGAGAAAATTTATCTATGTTTTATTATGGGGTTTTGGGGTTTTGGGGTTTTGGGG